GCTTCCCACCTTCCCATCTCCCAGTATAAACTACAAACAACTTACTTATATCCACAATTTCCTCCCCCATATCTTTCTGACCTTCTCCTTGTGGCTAGACCCACCCACACCCTCAGCTCCTTTTCCTTCATACATCTCACTGCTCCCTCTGCCTGCCTTGTTACCAAGGGTAACAGAGCTTTCAGTCACTTTGCCCCCATGCTCTGGAACTCACTCCCTCCTGATCTCTGTAACACCAATTTCAAAACTTAGGTTTTTGAACTTGCTTACTCTCTGTAATTCATTTTTATTGTCTCTTTAATTCTAATCAAATTTGCATTTACTCTACTGTTTTAACTGTGTGCCTGTTTTTTGTGTACTTAAGCTTGAAATGTAAGGTGACCTTGAGTATCCAAAAAGTGGAGCCATACGTTGTGGTTTAAGACAGAAACCCACCATGTAGTGATCAGGTTCTTTTTACTATCTTGGGAGGACTCAGGAACAAAGAGACATAGTTCAACACAGGAACGCCTGGCTCAGAGCTGGGCTTGATGTTACCATAGACATAGAGCATTAGCACAGACTCTTCTTATATGCAGAGGGGATGAGATGATTGGGTACACCTGTTTGCAATCACAAAGGTGTGGAGAAGCAATCAGCCTTGCAGCGATCTCAGGATGCCTTCTATCGAATCCTAGGAAGAACCACCCAACCAGCCCAGCCAATGAACGCCAATCCATACATAACAAAAGAAAAGTAAATCACAGTGGAATAGATGGAATAAAAATGGTTAAACACAATGAAAGTTGCACAATGAAAAGTATGGGTTATGTATTTTAAAAGATAGAAATATTTATAAAAAGATAAAATGGAACACAAATTAGACTGGAAAATTAACTAATAATGTTTGATACTGTCTTTATGTGCCTCTGAAAATTTCTGTATGAGTGCAAGACCACACCCAAGTTTCAAACCTCATTGATGGTTTCTAGCTTTATTAATATAAGCTGTGTGCTAACTTTTGAAGGCCATTCTTCTGTTCTAAATACTATTACTTCAGTTTTGACCTGATTTAGTTTAAGAAAATGTTGACTCATCCATGTTTTGATTTCTTTGATGCATTTATCCAGTGCTTGAATGGGTTCATCTTACCTGGTATATGTATTAACAAGGGGTGTATGTCTGGGTTTGGAGGTAGGGAGGTTGAATAGGGGCGTTCACATTTCCTGTTAAGTTTGCCGAGGAGCCCTTGGTCTTCGTCAAGTTGTGGGGTTTAAGGGGTTTAATGGGTGTGGTCGGTCTGTGTTTGGATTTGGGAGGAGGAGGGTTTATTGTGGGGCTCTACATGTCCTGCAGAAGGTGGCAGGGAGACCTTTTGTGATGAAGGCCTTCTCTGAGACAACTGCCTGGGAATCCTAACCTTGGAATTTACATAGACAATCCCTCTTAAGTTTTCTTTAAATTCATGTTAAATGAATAGTACACCCAAAACATGATTAGCCTTCATTTTCTACTCACCCCCATGCTGAACAACACTCTTGAGTACTTTTTTGATATCTCAAATGCATCTGGAGATCTGGGAGGCTTCTTGCTGTCTGCTGACATTCAAATAATGGAGGTCTATGGTGCCCGAGGCAGAAAGGTCCATAAAAGTCCACAAAAAACGTGTCAATATTCCTCCATACTGCTCGTCTGTTTACTCGAAACAAAGTCATTTAGAACGTTTTTAGAGCATAAACAGTAGTGTATAGGATTTCCTAAAAGCGCGTTCACGAGTCTACGGAAACCGCGGCAGACCAAACCAGACGAAAGTGCGCATTCAGCTCGGCAAAGAACTCATGCTCTTCCTCAACACTGAAGTCCTCAGACATTTTTCTTTCGTTGTTTCTTTCTTTGCACAGGTAAACAGCACATTTCTTCTTCTACGCTTGCATTATCGGCAGAGCAGACGCTGAATGCGCACTTTCGTCTGGTTTGGTCTGCCGCGGTTTCCGTAGACTCGTGAACGCGCTTTTAGGAAATCCTATACACTACTGTTTATGCTCTAAAAACATTCTAAATGACTTTGTTTCGAGTAAATTATGGACGCTACCCACTCAGGACACTTGGAATACATTGGACGAGCAGTATGGAGGAATATTGACACGTTTTTTGTGGACTTTTATGGACCTTTCTGCCTCGGGCACCATAGACCTCCATTATTTGAATGTCAGCAGACAGCAAGAAGCCTCCCAGATCTCCAGATGCATTTGAGATATCAAAAAAGTACTCCAGAGTGTTGTTCAGCATGGGGGTGAGTAGAAAATGAAGGCTAATCATGTTTTGGGTGTACTATTCCTTTAAATCCTTATTAATGAAAAGAAAGAAGAGCTTAATCACACCACTTTTCACACCCCTATTTTTCCTCTCCAGGGTATAACTGAGAATTCAACTTGCGTATGCTGTTATAGTAACATCAATATATGAAAGTGCTTTGAAATGTATTTCTCATTAGCTTTTTTTATTTTCTTTAATTTCTCAGCAATATTATCATTTATAAAGGACGCATTTTAGGTATAAATGCCACATCTAAAAGGTGTTTTGTGTTCTCTTGACGAAACTAAGTGAAATATTTTTATGCATACAGTTAATATGTAAAAGTGAAGGTCAAGTAGAGTGCTTGGCAGGTTTAATAGCCTCGCCCGAACTTCCATTTCCAAAAAAGAATTCTTGCCTATAACTCAAACTCAAACTATGGAAAATACAGAGGATAGAAATATTCCAACAAAAACAACCATCAAGTTAGAGTTTGTGTGGAGTTAACTGTAATTTACAGCTCAGTATTGATTTGTACAAATACCTTAAGTGGCTTGGGATTTATAGAACAGAGAAATTTTAGACATGACAGCAGTAATTTAGTAGTAAATACATATATGTAGTAATATATTTACTGAATGACAGCGTGAATATAAAATATAAGGTCAAGTTAACATGTTTAGAAGCAGTAGGAGAAACTGAGTAAAGAGTAGGCTACGGCATATCAAAGAGCCTGGATGTGATGTTTAGAGTGATTTAGAATGAAATCTTTAACTCTACTCTTGCCCAGGAAAGGCCATCCGAAAGCCTGTGCAATCTTTATGCATGTTTAGTCGGCAATGTTGTTTTTGCTGTGTTTATTCCCCCTGATCCAATGCAACATTAAGTATATTGCTTTGAAACTGGTTTCTAAAGTATAGCAGGATATTACAGGTTTTTACAAGATAGACCCTTTTGAGAAATAATTATCTTTCTTCAATAAATGTATTATCACTCAAATTCACCCTTAGTTTGTGCTTTCATACTCAATATATATAAATATATATTTAAACCTTCTAAAACTTAACTTGTGCTCCAGTATGTCCTGATCGCAGCCCCGGTAGCTGATCTAATTACTCACTTCATTCACCTGCCGTACCCTCCCCAATCTCTAATTATCATTCATTTTATCCACCTGCTCCCACCGCTTTACATACAGTTCAGCCTTAGCCGCTTACACCAAAGCCTGGTTCTGTTAAATAAACATTTTGAATTATCCCACTGTCTGTCTCGCCTTGAATACTGGATCCTGTTTTCCTGTTCATGACAATATATTGGTCTTTATTGTGAACTCAGTTAACTGACTGTTCGGGCAGATTATCACTTTTTTGCTCCTCGTTGGTCTCGTAACTTAGCCTCCCTGCACAGTGCCTGTGCCATCTTTGCTATTTGTCGCCGCTGTCACAACCCGACAGCGGGCAGCTGTCACAGCAATTACCATAATGCTTTGCTTTGCAAAGCAATCTGGGCCGAGTGACCATCGATGATCACTACTTTCAAAGGTGTATTGGAAATTTTAAGTCTACTACTTATTCATCTGCTAAACCTTCAGACACTCATTTAAAATGGTATAATCACTACTGTATATAGTGCCCTATATAGTGATTGGGCGGATGTTTAGACACAGCCCTGGTGAAAAATGCCTTCCTTCTTAAAGCTAAAGGAGCGCTTATTACTGTGATTTATATGGAAGACTCCGAATATTTTATGTTATCTCCCATCAAGTAATTTCATTAATTTGTCATGCTAATCTAACAATTTTTTAGTGAAAGAAAAAAAGTTAGCTTGTGGGGTATTTGTGCATGGGTGTAACGAACCTGGGGTTCCTGTGGGACATTTCCACATACTTTGCCCGTTACCTCGGTCCCCCACAAATTTTTTCTGTAGTTTTTTACAACAGTTAAACTTATTAGAATGGAGTGAGTTATTTTTCTGAACTGTCTTAGAATGCAACATAAGGATACATAGGCTAACCTAGAAGATCAACACAGATGCAATGGTGAAACGAGCTGAATATAAACATCAGCATGATTAACAAACCAGCTGCAAAAAGCAGAAAACTGAGCATTTTTATCTTTAGAAACAGATTTAAATAAACAATTGAATGTGCCACTCTAAGTACACTTTTTCTGACTTTAAATATAGAATGAACAAAACAAAGTAGCATTGAAATTATTATTAATTAGTCCTTCTTTTTTCTGTAAAATGATACATGAATAACTACCATCTCAGGATGTTGTGTTCTTCTTATTTTGTGGGTAAATTGATCAGTAAAAACAAACAGCTATGGTAATAATCAAGTTTTTAGTTTAAAGCAGGAGAAAATATCAGATAAAAGCAGCAGTTACCTCAAATGAAGGAGAGGAAAAAGAAGGACTGATGCATGGTTTCCAACAAGGCCACTGCTTAGATTATGCTACACAAATGGGGCTGTATGAGCTTAGCATATTAAATCCTTATGTAACTTAAACAGTGAGATTGATTTATTAATGTGGGTTACATATTTCTGCTGCGGTAAAGCTTTTTTTAACTAAACCTTCCAAATCAAATTCACATGTTTGCATTTTACATAATTTATCTGAGCTGGACTAATTTGCAAAAAAACAAAAGAGGCTAATTAAAATGGTAATAATCTCATGCGGCTATGATTTAAATGTCCTTTTGTGTGTGTGTGTGTTTTTTTCTAGGCTACATGGTAGATTTGATGAACAGGTCCATGATCATCCTTGAGGATACTTTCATTTCAACATGGGGTATCCTGTACGCCAGGAATTCCATGCTCTTTCAGGAACTCTACCAAGATTTGAGAGACTACTACCAAAGTGGAAATGTCAATCTGGAAGAGGTGCTGACTGAATTCTGGACCAAGCTGCTGGAGAAGGTCTTTTATCAGGCAAATAAGCTGAGTTCAGTAGGTATGTTTATGCAATATAGAATTATTGAATAGGCCTGTTTTGTGTAATGCTAAAAAAAATTGATTTCTAGCAGTGAAGATGTCAAGTACTTTAAAAACACACTCCTTACAAGAAATTTAATGTATGCCTTTGAAATATTTTTTCTTGTTTACATTACTAAACATTACCAGCAGGAACACACCAGACAGCTTTTTCAGCATTTACATGTCAAGATAACCATGTCAATTTCTTTACCGATACTGCCTTCCGAGTGGTCCTGATAATCAGGACCACTCGGAAGGTGAGGCACCGATTATGGAGAAGATAATCCTGCAGTGTTGCAATTAAACAAAGTGAGCTGTCCTGCTTTGTTTTAAATCTGCACACAAACCCTTTAGTTGCTACACCAGACAATAAAAGCTTCAAGTCATATACATTAATTTGTGTATGTAAACGAAATCCATTCTCATTTTAACTGTAATCAGCCAGAGAATATGCACTTAAAAACCATGTGGGTTCATGTTTTTTTAGGACAAAATAAGAGACAACTTACCTCTAAATCATAGTATTTCATGTAGACTCTCTCCTCGTGCTGCCTCCACTCCTTTATACATCATCTTTTTTTTAATTTTTTTAATGAAAGTATTAGCATATACATTATCACCATTGGGTCCACCATGTTTTACTAAGAATTCTCATTTGATCTTGAGAGGTGAGCACGAGTTCCGCTCTAACAGCTAAATGTAATGGGTGAATTCAAAATTGGTGCACTATTCTTGTCTTGTGGTCGGTAAATTTAGACTGTTGAACAAGATCACTGTAAGTCTGACAGAGCACTCTTGAATCTGTCTTTCAGAAATGTCACACTTCATTTCTATCTGTAATTTAAGGCTCAGCATTGATTTGTACAAAGAATTAAAGTGGCTTGTGGTTTATAGAACAGAGCAATTTTACAAATGAAATGGGTCATTTAGTTGTAAATAAAGATTTCTATTTCCTGAATGATATTATGGATGTACAGTATCCGGTCAAGTTAATGTGTTTAGAAGCAGTTGGAGAAGCCGAGAAAAATTAGACTGTGACATGTCAAAGAGCCTGTGAAGATTAGTGATTTAGACCAAAATATTTAACTCTACTCTTGCCCAGGAAAGGCCGTCAAAAGCTTATGCAGTAGTCTTCATTTAAATTTCTGTAACTATGTGTGCATGTTTAGGCAGCAATGTGGCTTTTGCTATGTTTATTTCCCCTGATCCAATGCAACATTAAGTGTGTTGCTTGTGAATCTGGTGTCTAAAGCAGAGCAGGATATTACAGGGTTTTTAAACACACTGGATAAATAAAATACAAATACACATATACAAATGAAGTATTTGTTATCATCATATAATTCTGTCTATATTTATAGCAAAGGATTGTGATGGCAACATAATGCTGAGGTGATGGTTTATCACTGAAAAGTGATACATGGATAGTGGACACAGATAGTTGGTGAGAAATGAAAGTAAAGTGACCAGAGTTAAAAAAAACAAAACAAAAATTAAAAAAACGGCAATTTATAACAGCATACATTATTACTCTAATTAATGAGGGGAGATGTAGATGTTTTTGTCACCCTGAATCGTTCATTATCCCATGCTGCTTTGTGATTTAAAAAATTAAACATTTGAGTCCTCCTTTATTTGAAAATATTAATAATTCTGAGTAACTACAGGTATTTACTTGATTTTTAAATAGCCATGGGATGCTTTTCAGAATAGAATAATGGCAAGAAAAGAAACTTTTATTTAGCCATGTTTCCTCAATTGAATGTAAAAAAGAGAACTGTTTATACAAAATAATGTTATCGACATTTTACAGTAAAATGAAATCATGAACTCATTTGTTTTTTGGATGAAAATTGTTTTTATGGTTCTCACACTGGGCCAGTTAGTAAACTGGAGCTAGAGCTGAGCATATAAATTAAACAGCTAAGCTCTGAATCAGTGTTTTCCTCCTTTTGTTGCTTTAAAACAGTTCCTAAGGAGTGCCAGAAAATCTGAATTTACTGTTTTTTTTTTTACTTTTTCCACATACACAATATAATAATTTTCCTTCAAATATTGTTTACAAACCAGTCTAAATCTTTGATAGTGAGCACTTCTCCTTTGCTAAGATAATACATCCCACCTCACAGGTGTGCCATATACGTATAGATGCTGATTAGACACCATGATTAGTCCAAAGGTGTGCCTTAGACTATCCACCATAAAAAGCCACTCTGAAAGGTGCAGTTTTATCCCACAGCACAATGCCACAATTGTTGCAAGATGTGAGGGAGCGTGCAATTGCCATGCTGACTGCAGGAATGTCAACCAGAGCTGTTTCGTGTATTTTGAATGTTCATTTCTCTACCATAAGCCATCTCCAAAGGTGTTTCAGAGAATTTGGCGGTACATCCAACCATCCTCACAATCGCAGACTACATGTAACCACACCAGCCCAGGACCTCCTCATCCAGCATGTTCACCTCCAAAATTGTCATAGACCAGCCACTTGGATAGCTCCTGAAAAAATCGGATTACATAACCAAAGGATTTCTGCACAAACTGTCAGAAACCATTCCAGGGACACTCATCTGCATGTTTGTCGAATGGAGTGGCCCATGGTGGTGGTGGGATTATGGTATGGGCAGGCGTCTGTTATGGATGAAGAACACAGGTGCATCTTATTGATGGAATTTTGAATGCACATTTAAATATTGTGACGAGATCCTGAGGCCCATTGTTGTGCCATACATCGAAGAACATCGCCTCATGTTGCAGTAGGATAATGCACAACCCCATGTTGCAAGGATCTGTACACAATTCTTTGAAGCTGAAAACTTCCTAGTTCTTGCATGGCCGGCATACTCACCTGACATGTCACCCATTGAGCATGTTTGGGATGCTTTTGACAGGCCTATACGACAGTGTGCACAAGTTTCTGCCAATATCCAGCAACTTTGCACAACCATTGAAGAGGAGTTGACCAACATTCCACAGGCCACAATTGACAACCTGATCAACTATTTGTGAAGGAAATGTGTTGCGTGAGGTAACTGGTATCAGCATCTTGATATGGCACACCTGTGAGGTGAGATGGATTATCTCAGCAAAGGAGAGATGCTCACTATGCCAGATTTAGACTGGTTTGTGAACAATATTTGAGGGAAATTGTGATATTGTGTATGTGGAAAAAGTTTTAGATCTTTGAGTTTATGTCACAACAGATGGGAGCAAAACCAAAATTGTCATGTTTATATTTTTGTTGAGTGTATATTATTTCCTATTTATTTATTGCATTTGCATGTTATGCAATCGACTGCCAAGAAGAAGGTCTATATGATATGTCTGCTTATTACAGGTGAGGACTACCAGGAGTGTGTGTCAAAGAAAATAGAGACACTAAGACTTTTTGGAGAGGCACCACATAAAATGACAACACAGGTCACTCGTACTTTTGTGGCAGCGCGTGCATTTCTTCAGGGCCTACATATAAGTCGAGAAGTGGTGGGCAAAGTGTTACAGGTAAAACTTCCAATTCTTAAAACTGTCAGAGAACCTTTGTTTCATTTACCAGAATTTTTTTTTTTTTTTCCAGATCCTAAAAGATTGTTTTAACTGATTTTGAAAAAAATGATGGATGGATGGATGGATGGATGGATGGATGGATGGATGGATGGATGGATGGATGGATGGATGGATGGATGGATGGATGGATGGATGGATGGATGGATGGATGGATTAATTCAGATGCAATTATGTTTGTAACATATTTTATTGCAAAATGTATCTTTGCAACTCTCTGCAGTGATGCGCTTCACTCTGCTGCTTGATCTAAAGCACTCAAAAAATACTTTCACTTGCCAATTCCATCACTCCATACGAGCAGTATAAAGCTGTGGCAGATTAATGTTGTTAAAAGCAATAGACTATAAAGTATGGCTTCCAGTGTCGGAGCATCAGCCCCTGCAATACCCGTTAATGTCAACATCTAACTGAAAAATGTCTCCTGGGTATGCAGGGAGGGTTAATATGTCCCAAGAGAAATTGTTCTTTCTGCACGTAACACAAGAGTATGGCTAAGACTCTAGCTGGACGAAGAAATCATCGTGTGTGTGTGTCTGTGGGGGGTGGGGGTGTTCAGTTTTGATGCCACAGCTAAAACTATCTCTAGAAGGGCACTGGAAACGTACAGTGGTAAGAGAAATTGCCTTTGGAAGAATGCAGACATCGGTTTTCCCAAAAAGAACAAATTAATTTAACAATCCTTGATAAAACAACAAAAAAAGGTGTTAAAATGATCTATAACAAGCATTAAAACAAATCCAAAACTGTAAGACCTCATATAAGGAATCTTCTCAATTTGTAACCTTGCTGCCACTGGAGGAAGTTACAGAGAGCTAAGTAGCATAGCCTGGCATGTCTCTCTCTCCCACTGTTAATGGAAGCAAAGTGATGCGCACATGCTCACCAGCTTAGGTGCCCCTTATATTTAGGGGGGGTCCACATGAACCTCTGCGGCTTGGCCATCAGACCATGTGAAGGAGGAGTATCAATGTTGGCCTCATTCCACAATTACAATCTAATCACACCCAAACCTGGCCGGTAGTGGTCCAAGTACTCTTATTGAGTGTAATGCATTTTATGCCCTATCTGCTATGTGCATTTGTTTTCGCCACTGTACTAAAAGGGATCAAGCAGCTATAAAAGTGGAACTAAAAAGAAAGCTATTAAAAAGTTATATACCCTTCTTCTTGATTATAGAGATAAGGAAAATGCTGTAATCCAAGTGGAAAAGCATTGACAGCTGGGTAGTACATGCACATAACCAACTTGCGCATAGATTGTATGTCATATGTACATTTTATTAAGCAATGAAAAGGTAGCAGAAATGTGCTTCTTGTTTCTCTTGAGTAATATATGTCTTTACAGCAGTCACAAAGGTAACTCACAGAGGTTTGGACTCAAATCATTTTACTTACAAACAAGTAAGACTGAAGGGACAAGTTAGACTCAAATTATTTTGACTTATTCTGGACTTGGATAACTTTAGTTGGACTAGAACCATTTACTTGAGAGCATTTGATATCGGATACTCAATAGGAAAGGAAAGGAAAAATTCCAGGTTTTGTCAGGTTTTGTGGAAGTTAGTTGAGGACCCAAATCTAGAAATGAGGAGGCAGAGATGAGTTCTTGCAGATTTGATTTGGATGCAGAATGAAACAGAAACTCAAATTCAGGAACAAAAAACAAGAAATCAAATCCAGCAGATGCCAGGGGAGATACACACATGAGGATCAAGGCAATGAAGAGAAACCAGGGCTGAGCAACTGCATAGTAGGAGTATATATGGGAGGCAAAACAAAGACTGGGTTAATTAGCTGACAGGGAGCAGGTGTGAATAGAAGCTAGAGGAAAGGAGACTGGCACAAGGAGGCAACAGAGAGCAACACAAAAAAAAAACAACACTGCTTAAAAAAAACTACAAGAGTGTGCTTTGGTGGCACAGTTGTTAGCGCTCACTACCCATGTATGGAGGCCTTAGTCCTCGACACGGGCGACCCGGGTCCTTTCCCACGTGTCTCTCCCCCTCTCTCATACCCCCTTTCCAGTCAGCCTACTGTCCATAAAAAAACGAGCCACTAGTGCCCCTAAAACTAAAAAGAAAAAACATATAATGGCAAAATGGAAAAGAAACCAATTACCATGAAAGCACAGAATTACATAAATCAAAGTGTAATTCAACACTTAAACAGAACCAAAAAATCCACAAACAGGAGAATCATGACCCCAAGGCCGGTGTCATCATGGAGGTGTTTGCAGACTGTGCATTGACAATGTAACAGAATGTTTTTTTTAAATGTGAGGGCATGGTGTTGGGTTGGCCCCTGCTGAATTTCTCTAATGCAGAAATTATCTGTAATGTCCTCCCTGAAGTAAGTCAGTTTTCAACTTGCCAATTTGTTAGATACAGAAATCCATTAAAAAATCAAGACAATTAAATTTTGTATGAATTTCTGACTTGCTGAAAAGTACTGTACAAATAACCTTGACCTAAAAAGTCTCGGTGAGCCAAAAGAACAATGGTGGTTTTGCAATTTCTTAAATAATTTGCAATTTTTACAAAATGAAGGCCTAGTTATTTTGACACCAGGTCATTTGCCCACTTGTTTTCCAAAGCTGCATCCAGTTTTATTTCGCTAAATATTGTACCTTATAGGAATCCAGAATGCTAAACTAAATCTAAGCTCTATTTTTTAAGGGGGTTAATGTGTCTCAACATCTTAAATGCAGGTTTTAAACTATCTGAAAAAACACCAAAAGTTTCATTGCGTTTTGAACAAAAAAATATAGCTGTGCAGTAAAAGAACATTGCCTCTTACAAAGGAACTTTAAAAAGATAATGCCTATTTAAATGGAAGACGATTAAAATGTTTATAGACAGAAGAAGATCTGAGCTGGATCTGAGCAGTTCCAGTAAAGCATTAATTCTCCCTTTCCTTTGCTCCAGGTTATGCCAGCTGCTTTTTCCTTAACTTTCCCTTGACTATGTTATTCTCTTGGGAAGGGAATGTTGGAAGTAGGCCATGTGCTGGACAGCTGACTCTAAAGGAAGGCAGTCTAGATAATCTCAGTCTGAAAAGCTGTGTAAATGGCAAAATGCAAAGTATGTGCTAATTACACACTGCAAAAATACTGAGACAAATATAAACACAGAGCCGTGGGTTGTATAAAAGTGTTGAGGTTGCAACAAAAACAAGTAAAACACATCTTAGTAAAAGACATGAAATGTAACAATATGTAGCATTCAGAATGGTTAATTTTGAATTTGTACCTGTGTATTTGTGTAGAGCATCTATCACCCAAGAGAGAAGGGTGACTATGTTGCTCATCTTAATAGATGACTACTTTTTCTCATTAGAAAACCAGCAAACACAGGACAGATGGAGGACCCAACCTCATTAGTTCCTCTAATCTGTTCAAAATCTTTGCACTGGAATAACCTTATTGTGAGCATTGGAGCAGTACTTCATTTTCTGAAATATACAATAATTTGCCTTTATTTTGTAGCCTTAAGAGAGATTTTGAATGCTCAGAGAAAGTTAAAAAAAATTGTACAAATTAGACTTAGTGAAAAGCATAAGATTCCGACAGTATAAAAAAACTCAGAGAGCAATGGCATCATGGTGTTAACACAACAATTCTACAGATTTAATAAGTCAATTAGCTTTTGCTTTCAATTGAATCAGCTGGCACACCAACCCATAGCTTGCCAAATATAGTTTGAAATAGTTTTACCTGCAGTTACCTGAGTTTCATACCCAGGGGAATGTCTTGTATAAATTTATGTCCTGGGTGAACTCCTATTTGATTCCTCTCAACCAATTAAAAGGCTGAAATTCATCCGAGTATTGAGGGTAGGGAAAATGCATTGTAGTTGCATTCAAAGAATGTTCTGACATTATATCATTTTACAGCTGTACACTGTTCAGGTTTTACACGATATTTGTCTATCTTTTCTGGATGAGAAGTGTGATCTGAGCAGTGCACAGCTACTTGTGGAGTAAACATGCTACTAGTTAACTTTTTGCTCTGTACACCCTCAAAAATAAATAAATAAATAAAAAATAAATCCAGCACTTTCTCTGGTATTTCTTTAAAAGGACTTCACATCATAGGAAAGATCTAACCATCTCTAAAAACAACAACACAATAATCAAATTTTAGGGGTGTATACAATAATTTTATTATTATCTGGATTTTTGAGTGTCATCACTATGGTATTTAGATTTAAGTAGGAATTGTTAAAAAACATTTTTTTGTATTATTTTCAAAATAAGAGCTACCTCTAAAATCATATAGCTAAACCAATGTAAATTAAATTCCTACTTAAGTGACTGACCCTTTACAGTTTTAATAGGCATTTCATTAACCTTATTTGACCTCAAGTTTTATCCCAGTATTTCTCTACTTTTGGGCCTTTTTCCCGCTCTTTGCTGTACACCACCCTCTCTGACTGTTCTGCTCACTAAAGAGCAATCAGCTGACTCCTCCCTTGCTAATGAGAGCAATAGCATGAATGAAAGAAGAATAGAAAAAAGGAGAAAGAATTAGAATTTGACTAATGTAATATTAGTTTTCTTTTACCCTGCCTTGATGCACCTTTTGTTTTCTCTCTTGCACAAATGACTTTTAACGCACTTTTGTCCTATTTGTATGATCTTGATTAAGTTTCTAAAAAAACACACCAATGTGTTTCTTTTTTTGGGTTGATCTAGTTACTTTTATGGCAAATTGGCTTAAACACATTCTATACTTCATACAAAGAATGTGTTTCTTTGATTGCTATTATCCACCTGTATCCTACTGTTGCCCTATTTCTCTTCAAAGTTTGATCAAATGTGGTTTTAACTGGGACTTCTGCTGGAGGAGGAGTTTCCAGTAAAAGTCTCAAGCGGGCCCAGATGTCAGCTTAGAAGAGCTTTGTATGCGTAGCTGGGTTCATTCCATCTCTTTCCTTTCTCCCTCTTGCACAGACACACACGCTTCATACTTCTTGAGGTTTTGTATGCATAGCTGTACTCTCTTGTGAACAGAGCTTACTGGTATTAACCCAGTTTCAGTTTTCACGCACAAAGGCCTCTTCTCCTATTGGAATAGCCTTGTGGTATAGGGAGAAAAATTGAACTGGCAGGAAGGACAGAGTAGGGGACTGAGAACACTTGTATCAATGTCAAGGTCTTTATATCTCATGTTAAAAGAAAAATAAATATTCCCAGTTGTGGTTTCTGAGGAAACAGTACAATAATAAAGTCTGGTGCAAACTCAAAGGTCACCAGTTGAGGTGAAATCCCACTGCTGTGGTGGCTATAACTGGGTCAGTAGAAAAACTTTTTCCAAATTAAATAACAGAACTTTTTATTTTATTTTTTTTTCCAGCATTTTGTTGTCATTACACTGTCACAAATATAGAGCAACAAAATTAACTCTCCCATCCCCTAGGGGAGCAGTGGGTTGCCATTGTACGGCACACGGGAGCAGTGCGGGGTTAAGGGTCTTGCTCAGGGATCTCCCAATGCAGGAATTAGCATGAAGGGTCTTGTCTAAGGACCCACACTGGCAGCTCATTCCCCCCAGGCGAACCCAGACAAATCCAGGCTTTTGTTTGCAGGACTGGTGACTTACCACTTGAGCTAGCCAGCCGCTATTATTTTTTTTTAGATTCATTTCTCTAGGACAATATATGATTTTCAAATAGATGTCTGAAGTAATCATCTTATGATATCAGTTTTTTTTAGGGAAAGAAACCTGCTAGACCGAACATTGCTTTGTTTTGTGTTTTTCGCGGCACCACTGTTTATTTTTCTCCTGTGCTTTACTACAGGTACCACTGAACCCTAAGTGCTTTAAAGCCATTATGAGGATGACTTACTGTCCACACTGTCGAGGTATGCCCACTGCTAAGCCCTGTGCAAACTATTGCACCAATGTCATGAAGGGCTGCTTCGCCAACCAGGCTGACCTCCACACAGAATGGTCACATCTAGCAGGTACGTCTTCATGCACACAGTGCCAGCTGTCTAACATTACATGTATTCATACCAGGCATGTACATACAGATGGATTATGCTTAGAGATGTATTAACTTGAACTAAATCTGGAGATGCACTGATCCGATACTCAAATCAGATATCTGCTCCCATATTAATTAATAAGCTGCATTGAATGTTGGGTGGATGCTTTCCAATCCAGTCATTTCAATTAATATCATACACAGTAATATAGTTACAGCGAACTAGCGATTACAGTTTTACGATTGCAACACTGATTACATCATCACACGAAAGCACACAGCAGCTAGTGATTATTTATACCTGTATTAATCTGTTATCCTTTTTTAAAAATGTAATAGCAAGCATAATACCTTTCAACGATAGTGTTGGATCAGTATCGGGTAACTTCAACCCATTTATTGGTAACGGATTGAATGGGAACATATGAATCCGTGCATCTCTAACAACATCCATGCTGTCTTTTAAGGGGCAATGATTTGAATGTGTTGAATTATTGAAATGAATGAATGAATATCACTTTTGGGAATAATAATGTATTTAGAAATTAAATTGAAATACAGCTTACAGCTCCGATGTGAGTCAATTGCAATTCTGGGATGTCTGGGGCAAAAAAAGAAAATAAAATTAGCAAACAAATTGGTTTGGGAATTTTAAGGTGCTTGACAGTAAAACTAAAGAATAACAACAATATTTTGGTTCACTGATTCTCAAAAAGAAATCCGAGACAGAAGCCTGTCACCTCAGCCTGCCTCCATTTAAGATGCTGTTACTTTAAAGTTTTCTAAATGACTGCAAATCATTACATAGTAGGTATGTCATGTGGTGAAATACTTGAGTTTACAATTCATCTGCAAATCAAGGTCTCGGGGTCTAGAGTCAGGAGGAAGTCCCAGTTTCCACAGTCAGAGAGAATTCAGTGCTCCATGTCTTCACTGCAAGCTAGAAATAAGTCAACAGTTCTTAAATTAAGTATATTTAGCCTTAATTTGCATGGGTAAATAAGATGATTTGACAATGTAATGTATGTAAAGTTTTTTTTTTTCTCCTATAGTAAGACAATTAGATAACTAGCACTTGAAATAAAACAATGCAATTTTTTTTCTTATTTTAAATGTAAATTATCTTGTTCCATTGGCAAGGTGTCCCACCCCCTCAATTCAAGAACAAATCCACTTATTTTAAGAAAAAATGGCTTATCTAGATTTTGATTTTTTTTTCCAGTGAATTGTTGGTCAACTGTGGATTTTTTAAAATCTACAATTAATACTGCCACTTCCAAGGATGTTTTCAGAGTACTTCACATTTCCTTCTGCATACGAACATAATGGAGATGCTGGTTTCATTTCACAGCAGAAATTGGCAGCTGCCCAGACCAGCACAGCTACCAAAATCTTGTTCAATGTCTATGGTATTACTGTGGTTGATTTCCCTGCAAATTGGCCTGAGCTAAACCCTATAGACGCTATATGAAGTATTATCAAGAGGAAGATGTGTTAAGTATTAAAATGAACCAATGCCACAATCAACCAGTCTAGGCTTTTATTAAACCTCAGCAGATGATGATCCCCTTCATGCAATGCTGCATTGATGTAGTAATTAATGCAATGAATAATCCAGTCTAGTACTGAGTCCAGACAAATGAAAATACTTTTAAGAAACCTGACATCAGTTTATATATTCTTTGCATTGATCTTATGTTATAATGAAATGTTCTGAAACACTGAACTTTGGATATTATTAACCTGTACCCCATAATAACTTGACATATTTCTATATGGTTGGTTATAATCGGATACTAATGGTCTGAATAACTTCTGTTTGCAGCTTTTTCTTAATTTGCAGTTGGTGATTCTGCTTGCAACATTTTCCGCTTAAATGTGTTTTGTGTGTTAGCACATTTATGTGTTTGCAGTGAGTTTTATGTGTTCATATATTTGCACTATGTTTGCACTTGCATGTGATTTCAGCAATTCTCATTGCAGGATTTCTTTTTCTCATTTTGTGTGTTAAGTCTAAATATGTTGTTTGTTAGTTTTTTGTGTCTGCTAGTTTTAGTTGTTATTATTGTGTTTGCTGTGCATTAATGTGGTTGCAGTGGATATGCACTTTTAAGCCCCTTTATTTAATTTATTCCGTCATTTATTTTTTTAAAGAATATCCTATTTGTGCTATGGTTTAATTTTAAATATGGTAAAATACCAAACTGTTTTTTTTTTTTTTTTTATCAAGAGCTATAGACTTATCCTAAAAAAATGTAATAGTAGTGTATACATCCTTCTTTTAGCGAACTTATATAACTTATCATGTTTGCTTTGGGTTTCAGTCTTACATTTTATAAATAAAAGGTGCAGAACAGGTGCCCAAAGTGTTGTACCAGAAAAATAATTGGTCTTCTATTGGTTCTTCTTTTATGCTTACAGATACAATGATTGAGGTGGGAGAGCATCGCTTGGATGATATGGATAGCGTGATTCTTTCCCTCCCAAATCAAATATCAGAAGCCCTATTTACCATGGAGGATAATATGGCAAGCATCAACAGCAAGGTTAGATCCTGCTTTGGTTTACACATACTACACATCGATACAGGCTTTTTAAATTCAATACTATTACCGATAATTTTTACATGAGTCTGGCTGATCCCTGATATATGCAGCAGATTTTTCGGGGTGCTTTTTTCAGGCCAGTATTTCTTTCTTTTTGTCTATTTGCATGATAAAAGTTATACAAGGATATCAAATGTGACACAAGTCTTGATTAAAAATGAAAGAAACTTCTACTAACAAATCGAAAAAAAACACTAAAAATGGATATCAAATATAGGGAACGGCAATGCATGCACCTTAAGTGACTCAAGGTATGAGATCGCATTGTTGCATTAAGGCAGCTTAATGCATAAATGAATCGGCAAACATATGGGAGTATCAGCCAATACTAATACAAAGAAACACTGTAAATATCAGCTAAAACAATGAGCTGGCTGATGTATCTTTTTATGACACAGCTTTAAACCAGCAAGTTGTAAGTTTGGCCCTAGTATTACCTTCATTTGATCAGTTGCTTTATAGGAAAATTTTTGAGGAGGTGCTCAGGAAGGGAACAGTTTGCAAGGAGAGGTGAACAAGCACAACATTCCTATTTTCAATGAATATGAATAAATATATATATGCATATATTTACACATCCATAGTGTCAGCTTTGAGTTCTGGAATATCTTATCTATTGTCATTTCTTCTCTGCATGTTCACTATGCTTACATCAATAATTGCTCTCCAAAGTATTAATATTTATATGACCTAATACCTACATTTAATATATTTAGTTTTTATTTATTTCTGATTACACTTAAGACTCCTAGATGACTTACAAATTAACATAAGTATATATTTACCCTGTAAAACACAAATTTGTGTTCTGAAAAGATCATGAATTCTGTATTCATCATCTTTAATGTTTGTATATTGATGTGAGTAATTAACTACAGCAATTTTGTTGCCAGTTTATTGTTAATATACAAAAAATTGAAGTGTAAAAATAGTCCACTTGAAAGTTTTACTCCTACCTTCTATCGCTACTACTATGACTGTTTTACCTTAACCATTACCAGTATATTACTAACACTAACCTTAAACTAAAGTTAATTCACACCATACTGTAACTGTAAACTGATTCCCTAACAATCTTAATGGAGGTCCACAATATTAGGCATAGCCTTTGGTCACTGTAAGGTCTATTGGTCCTTAAAAGGTTAGTAAATATATAAAAAAAAAAGGTCTTAAATAGGTAGCATAGACAAGTAACCCTATTTTTAACAATTTTGGCTTCATACCTACCCATAATCCCAGCCTAAAATCCACATAAACCTCAAACATGACCCCTGACTCTAAAACGGCACTTCCCCTTATGGAGTCCTGGACCCGCAAGGGGCACTCAGTCCCCACAACGTGCTATGTTTTCCAGAAAATAGCTTATGAGGACCAATGAAATGTCCACATTTTACAATGGCCAGACCTCATTTTGCTGGCAAAGTAAGAAAAATGGTTCACGCGCACACACAAAAGTAGACTGTAAAACAAAAGTCTCATGAGCCTCTTAGATTTTCCTTGAGGAAAATCTTATTAAGAGTTCAATGGCCAGGACAACTACTGCACTGCCATAATCAGATCATGTAGCCAGAATGGTTCAAAGTTTTCTATCTAAGGAAAACCAATTGATTGCACCGACTCATTGACTCGAATGCAATCCTCACACCACGCATGCTTGTGGCAACAGTCAAGAGTTTTAACAAAAATAACAAATGCATGTACTAGTTTCTCAGCATCACCTCTGGACAGGATATTTCAGAGTTTTTGCAAATGAAAGAAAATTGTAAATTCTGGAAACCTCTTTGAAATGGGATTGAAATGTCAGGTCCTTATCAACCATAACACTAAGGTTTTTAATAGATTATATAATCAACAGATTGAACATTCCTTGCATTCACATTCATACAAATTGTGACTACATCCCTGTCTAACATCCTGGAGGTGTGGACTTCTATTCCTCTGGGTGAATTTAGAAAGGCATGCCAAAGCATGATACCACTATAGTACTGTATTTTCACGACTATAAGGCACATATAAACTTCTTTTTTTTCCCTCAAAATGTGCGGCGCGCCCTATGTGTGTTGTTACTGCGGACGTTGTTGAGACCACCATGAGAACGTTAAAGGGGGAAGTGTGGGCGTGGATTGTGTATAAAAGAACAGGTATGTGCTTTATGCAGAACTCCTCATCTCCTCATTGAGGAGGTGATGAAAGAGTGGCTGAGGGAGGTGTATGTAGGGAGACCAGGTAGTTTTTTCCACGCATCATCATCGCTGTTAATCTGTGACTCCATGCGTGCCCACCTCACAGCCGATGTGAAAAACATGGTGAAACAAATGAACCCTGTGCTTGCTGTTATTCCAGGAGGTCTGACAAAGGAACTTCAACCGCTCAACATCGGTATGAACCGGCCGTTCAAAGTAATGCTACGTTCACGCGTCTCCTGCTTCATTTTTGCTTCCTGTACCAGTTAGTTCTGACGCGCGGCTGAAGCAGCTTTGCTGCTCTGGCTGCGCGGTGCAAAAGTGTGCCTGACGCGCGTTTGGCGAAGCTACTCTATCCTTTCTTTGCCTTGCGGCTATATTTGCTGTGATCAGTGGGAATAAACTAGCTTTAATATGTATTTAAGTGAGAAAGTCCACCTGAAAACTTAATAATTGCAGTCAGTTCATCCAGATTACCATCCTGCCTTCTAATATTAGTTCTGTCAGAGCCGCTCAGACCCCCACATACCAGCGGTGCACTGTCAGTAGGAATCCCATTCAACAGCAGCCTCTGGCCGGGTCGCCTCCTCGCGGTTCAACATATTCTGCCGGCAGATTTCTGCATTTTAAGTTTATTTATGCGTCAATAAACTGTTTCAGAGGAGTGATCACAGCGCTCTGTGTCATCAGCGATGTGTCTGTCTCATGGCCAGCTCCCAGGTTTGATTAATACTTTGTAATAAATACATGAATAAAGCACAAACATACTCAGTTTTGCTCCCGCTCTATTTTTAAATATGCAGTTGAGGTATGTAAACGTAGTAGAGGACATGTACCTGTATATAAAACCCGCGCCCTATAATCCGGTGCGCCTTATGTGTGTGTTAAATACAGTAATGGCACACATAACTGAGACTGCGCCTTTTAGTACGGTGCGCCTTATGGTTGTGAAAATACGGCATTTCAGTGAAAATTCCACTCTCCTCTTTAAAATCTCTGATTCCTTACAATGACCTATGCCATGGTGATGGACTCAGCTTCTAAATCTGTTTTTTTAGTAACCAATTAGATAATTGCTAAATATGCCCCTTTGACCAACTGACAACATTCTCAAAAAGGATTACTATCTCCCACTCTGAAATATAAAAGGCAAGGAAGAGTATTTCTGAAATGTTAATATTCAACAACTTTATTAAGGCCAACAGAAAGTCCTTCACCAAAGCGTCTCTAAATTCCCCCACATGACCACATTTTCTGCTGTCTCATGAGTCATCCAGTAATTCATATTTGCAGAAGCAGACTTGTGTGTTCCTGTTGACATATTCACTTATAAAGTTTTTCAAGGCTTAAACGGGCTTGTAAAAGACGTTAAAAATAACATCTCTGAAAAAGAGTCTCAATGTCTGATATATTTTAAATTAGCTAAAGTAAACTTTATGTTTGTCTTTCTGTATTTTTTCTTTATGAAATGCACTCAGAGGTTCTCACCACATTTATGCTGTTGCACTGCTTCTTATATCTAGAATATAATAAAAGGGAGTGAGTTATGAGTCACAATGCAGCTTGCAGACAGCTTTTATTCATAAACACCTATGGCTTTCTGTAGCAAATAACAACAGTAAGTTGTTTAGTGAAGGTGGATATGTTCGGCTAGAGGAAAAACAAAGCGTCCTCTTTGCTGTTTTTCTAAAGGGCCAATCTGGCCTAAAGTGAGCTGTGACTGGTGGAATGTCCCTCACTTTTGTCAATATGCTAAACACAGTGTTAGCCTTTGATTCCAATTTCTTGATAAAATCACTAGTTTAAAGTCAAAAAACATTCACATTCTTAGTTTTATCCCAACAACTATGTACAGCATTACTAATTTAGTATTGAAAATAATTGAGAATATAGTTTCACTAAAGATATGGCCACAAACATTTAATCCTCGCTGCTCATTCCTAAATATTCCCCATGCATTGTTTCTAACGTGTGTAGTCCATGAGGACAAAGTAAGACTGAAGGAGCTGTGAATCGCCATATGTATGAAATGCACTGGTTGACTCGGGTCATGCAAATAACTTGTTGCACCATGTGTCCCGCTTGGTTTCCAAAGAAAATCATTTTTCTCTTTATACCAAGAAACACTGTTGATTCAAAAATGTTTCACACATTACTAAGAAAACTCAATTGTGTCACCCTTTAATTAACCCATTAACTTGTCCTTCTGGTGTTTTCCCCCACCTTCTTCTTCTCCTTTCACCAGCTGTTCCAGGCATGTGGCAGTCTCAGCAAAGGAGGAGCCACTGGCTCAGGATTTGATGACATCACAACCAGAAAAAGCGCTGTGACCGACAGTTTGGGAGATAGCAACAACAAATTGGCAAATTCGGTTAGTATTTTCCCACCTGAATCAATTCATTTACCTCACCCCCGAAAGAAAGAAGAAAAAAATCAAGCATACACTCCTGCCTTAAAACATGTAACTTTGAGATTTTCCGAATTTATTATACTGGATATGAAAATCAGTCAAAAAAATGCACACTTTTGCTCATTTCTTTATCATTTTTAATACATGTTAAATCTGCCTCAGGTGACTGACATCAACATAAAGCTGAGAGAAATGCGACCATATTGGATTTCTCTACCAAAGCTTCTTTGCAGTGACAGAGTTGCCAGTGGCACAGGGGCTGAGGACAAGTGTTGGAATGGCATGAGTCGTGCCAGGTAAGGATAAAAAAAAAAAAAAGGTGTGCACTTAAAATAAACACAGCGCATCAAAAAACAAAAATAATTTCAAGGATGAAGGCTAATTTCATACAGGTTTATTTTATGCTATTTATTTGTACTGCTTAACTAAATTTTAACCATTGCTGGTTTTAGGCATCCATATAAGGGATTAAAAATGTAAAAGGGGACTTGAAGTATCACATACATTTCTGAGGCCACATGTTTAGGTCAAACAAAGGCAACATCACCAAATTTATTTTTGTTTTATTTATTTATATTTTCCAATTTTGTACAGAAATACAAAAACATTAAATCTTTGTGACATTTTTTCTGGCAATGTGAAAAAAACAGTAGAATGCTTTAATGTCCTGACCCATGGAACAGTAGAAATGTAAAAAAAAAAAATCCTAAAATTGGAGACTTAGTAGGCCCTATTATCAGGAATGATGATAGATAAGGTGTCACCATTTTTGTTTTATAAATCAACACATACTGAAGGTTTATCTCAGTTTGTGACATGTATTGCAGCATAGTGGGCTGCCAGGCTCAGAGTTGTCTACACTGAAAGTAAGGCCACTATGCTTATTTTTTTGTGATCGAATCGGTCCATAACATAAGAGCCCCAAGGGCTCTGCCTAACGCATTTCATGACAAGGTAAACAAAAAAAAAAATAGACTTAGACTTAGACGAACTGTATTGTCATTTCGTATACACAGTGTACTGTAAACAAAACGAAATTTCGATACATACAGCTTTTCGACAGTGAATGAGCAGCTATTTATAAAGTGCAGTAACTAGTGTAGGAGAGACATGGTGCAAAAGACATTGATGTGGAAGGCTCAGAGCAGTGCAAAAATAAATAAATATATATTGTGCAAAATAGAGTAGAAATTTGTTTTAAATTTGTTTTTAAAATCCATCCCTGAAAAAAATAACATTTTACTATTCACTAAATGCTTTACGAATGGTTTCTAGTTGAATAGTTTTTTTGTCTGTATAACAGGCTGTAAGTCATTCAATAAAACTGCTGAGTTTCCTTTATGTTTAAGGGTTTTGTATGATCTTAACAATGGAAATGATTCACGAAAACTCAGGTCGCTGAAATAAAATCCCACCACTTTTTGCAACAAAATTATAACCCACTTTTCTTTCACAGCAACTTCAGTCTTTGAAAAAACAAAAAACTGTAATCAGAATCAGAATCAAGTTTATTGCCAAGTAGGTTTGCACTTACAAGGAATTTGACTTGGTGTTGTTGGTGCAGACAAAAAACAAAACAAAACAAAATAGCAAAATAATATAGAATATATATAAATATATATATATATATATATATATATATATATATATATATATATATATATATATATATATATATATATATATATATATATATATATATATATATATATATATATATATATATATATACACAGAAGCTATATACAAACAGTAGACTGTGTGTTAATATAACGCAGTAATCCTGAATGGGGGAGAGAAACATTGTTCAGTGTCACGGGCGGGTCTTGGCCTTGTTGATAAGGCCGATAGCAGATGGGAAAAAACTGTTTTTGTGACGGGAGGTTCTGGTCCTGATGGACCGCAGCCTCCTGCCAGAGGGTAGTGACTGAAATAGTTTGTGACTGGGGTGCGAGGGATCAGCCACCATCTTCCCTGCACGTAAATGTATAACTGTAAAAAATATTTTGCATCTACTCATAAAATACAATTATTATTATTTTTTTTTTATGTTTATAATCTCCAGGTATCTGCCTGAGGTGATTGGTGATGGCCTAGCTAATCAGATCAACAACCCTGAAGTGGAAATTGACATCACAAAGCCAGACATGAAAATACGGCAGCAAATAATGCAGCTTAAGATCATGACCAACAAACTGAAGAATGCTCTCAATGGCCGGGATGTAGACTTTCAGGATAACAGTGAGTAAACTGAAAAAGATTGTTTTTGTTCATACCATAAAATGGGTCTGTTTTGATGTTTTACCACTCAGGCTCTACTTGAAATTTTTTGGAGGTCTTGAAAAATTCATATATTGGGACTTGATTATTAAAATGGTTTTCATAAATCTGAATGTCTTCCTTAAGATGGAATTAGAAATTTGTGTGTGATAGGTAATCATGTTAGTAATATTTTGAAAAGAAAATAAATTTAGAAGGAAATTATACCTTGATGTTAATCTGATAGCATGTTGTAAAATAAATAACATTACACAGCAATATGAGAGATTCTTTACCACTATCTTTTTTAAGAGAAAGTGTACTTTCAGCTTGAAATTCCTTTAACCTAACAGTTATCTTTTTAACAAAGATACATGGTCAAATGTGGTTAAATCAAAAAACTGATTCTCAGACATTTGAATAATTAATGTTATAACAGGATAATTGTTTTTACTGTACTTTTTTATTTATCTATTTGCAACAGCAGCAACAGTTATATACACATATATTTCAGAAGTGTGACGTTATGGCGATTCTACCTTACCAACACCATACTGAACACTTAGCTTAGCTTTGTGGCGCTTCCCCTCTGACCAGAATGGATCATAAAAATTTTAAAATATGTATTATTGGAGGCGATCCATACAAAGCCCCTGCCAACTTTTTTCAACACATTTCTTCAACTCACAGGCTTATACATATATCTTATGCACAACCTGTCCTCACTCACAAGAGAAAGTCTGAAAGCATTTTAAAACTCAGATGCCTATCTGTATTTCACACCTGGCTGGGTTATTGCATTGCTCAGAAAATGTATTGCAAGATGTCTTCTCTGTTTTCTGAAGTTTTAGAAGAGGGAAGTTAATTTAAAGATCTATAAACTTTAAATACCAAACACATGATAAACACAGAGACACCAATCTATGCTTGTGTTGTAGGTGATGATGTGAGCGGATCAGGAAGTGGCTTGTGTGCAGATGAACTGTGCTCCCGGGGGCCACGCCTTATTGTCCCAGTGACGGAAAGACCCATAGTCTATGCCTACCCACCAAGGAACAAGGAAGTGAGAAGTTCAGTGTCACAAAGCCTCCCTTCAATCAGCATCCTCTTGCTTCCACTGGTCATCCTGCTGCTCCAACGATATTTGATATGAAACTCTTCTTACTGGGACTGAGATTGGGACATGGGGGACTGGAGAGTTTTAAAATGGATGGAGGAAATGTTGGGGGTTGGCTACTTTCCCATTAGTAAGCAAATAAAAGAGATCATAACAAAATCACTCAATAGACTTTCTTTGGTTTTAAACACCACCCACTAGTAATCAGCCGTGTTTCTGTTCTTCTCTTTAATTTGCCCATATTCTACGCCACTGTTAGAGTTCGTCTTTTGCTAATATGTTTTTTTCTAGTGTTTAAGTTTCCTGAAATAATATTTTCACCTTAGACATTAAAGGCCTATACTGCTAATGGTACTATAGATTTTGACTTGATGGGAAGAAGGGGAAAGGAGCGTTATGGCAGCCCCTTTTTGCACATTTGATCACCACTTAAAATGTGTAGGTTTAATTTATTTAATTTTATATTAGAATTTATTAGTAGGGAACTAATTGAAATAATCAAATTCTGTTTCCAAAAGCAAATGACACAAACTAGATATTTAAAAAATCTATTTTTAGAATGGATAATCTGAACGTCATGACCCATTAGACCTGTCAATGCATTAGGCTTTGCGGTGTTATCACATATAATCTCTCTCTGTGGGGGATGTGAGCTCATGCCATCAGCACTCTCCATCAGTTTATCTTTAATCTGCAATAAAACTTGTCACAATATTCCCACAGACAATTTTCTTCTACTGAGGGGAGCAATGCATCCTGTCTTCCATTCCATACACCCACCACTCCCCTTGCTCCCACCACTTCCAACTCCCCCCCCCCACTCACGTGTAGCATTAACATGAAGTCCAATTTAAAACAATGTGCTCACATGACTGGATAGCCTCAGCTGACACAGAGTGGGAAAGAGTAATTAGTTTTACGCCAGCCCATGTGATAGCAGAAATGTACGCAGAAGCAGAAACACATATTTCCTGCAGCACTTTGTTCATAAATTTCCTGATTTTCACAGCAGGTCAGTTAAATATGCAGAGAATTTTAGTGCTACAGGGTTCGTATGTAAGTGTAGCAAGGATCATGTTCACGCTCAAGGCAAACAATGCACGTTTCTAGAATATAACATTTTAATGCAGTGTACATATTTTGATTGCTTTTTTGCTTTCTTGGGGAAAGAATCCAATTTGCTCTCCCTCTTCTGTATGTTTGCATAATCTGTTTGCCGTTTCTTTCCTTGCACGTTGCCACAAAAGTGCTGTTACCCAATCCGTCGCCTCTCTACCACATTTTTTTTGTTTTCGCTCATCAGTTGTAATTACCTGTAGAAGTTTGCTTAATGATGGCAAGATAAAGATAACAATAACAGTGCTTTATTTTGTTATTCTTACTGGAAATGTTTTGGGAAAACATTGCAATACCATTTCTTGATGACATACTAGGGAGACATCATGTAACACATTTATTTTCAAGACAAAGTCACAGGGCTCAGTTCAGATTAATTTACTGTGCAGGATAAGAGGACAGTTTCATGTATGTAAGAGTTCATTGCCGAAATGTGAATGTGTGTTTTCGTCTGTGACTGACAAAGCGAAGCGGGGACAAACTTAAGGGTCTGAATAAATCATGTATGGATGATACAGAGAGCATTTTTTTTTTAAACATTCTAGTTTATTACAATTGCTCCGGTCTCATGATGCATCACAGTGCACTGTTAAACTGACGGCAATTGGAGATTTATAAAGTCTATTTTTCAAAAATAGCATTTTCAACCACTGCTGTAATAGATCACATTATGTATTGGTGACTTATGTACAGTCAGGTTAGTATATGACAGCAAGATGAAAATAGAAGAATTAAACTGATGCATTTTTCAATATGTCATTACTCCAGACGGGACAGTTCATGGAAATTCATGTTAAAAACATTATTCTATATGCACCTAGATTGCTGGAAATATTTCAACTTCATTTGGGCTCTGTTAGATTAAAGACATTTTTTTTCCTTATGTGTTAATAATAGTCTCTCAGATGATATTTTAATTGTTTTCTTTTCAGAAAAAAGAGCTTTATTAATGAATGAGTTGTTGCTGTTTGTCTGTGTGTTTTTCTCTCTTTGTCCCTGGACAGGAAATGTGCCTGTGACTGCCTATGATCATTTGGGGTCAATTTAAAGATAAAGGGAGAATTTACAGGTGCTGGTCATAAAATTAGAATATCATGAAAAAGTAGATTGATTTCAGTAATTCCATTTAAAAAGTGAAACTTGTATATTATATTCATACATTACATACAAACTCATATATTTCAGATGTTTATTTTGTTTAATTTTGATGATTACAAATGACAACAAATGAAAATCTCAAATTCATCATATCAGAAAATTAGAATATTGTGAAAAGGTTCAAAATTGATGGCCCCTGGTGCCACACTCTAATCAGCTAATTAACTCAAACCACCTGCAAAAGCCTTTAAATGGTCTTTCAGTCTAGTTCTATAGGCTACACAATCATGGGGAAGACTGCTGACTTGACAGTTGTCCAAAAGACGACCATCGACACCTTGCACAAGGAGGGCAAGACACAAAAGGTCATCGCTAAAGAGGCTGGCTGTTCACAGAGCTCAGTGTCCAAGCACATTAATAGAGAGGCGAAGGGAAGGAAAAGATGTGGTCGAAAAAAGTGTACAAGCAAGAGAGATAACCGCACCCTGGAGAGGATTGTGAAACAAAACCCATTCAAAAATGTGGGGGAGATTCACAAAGAGTGGACTGCAGCTGGAGTGAGTGCTTCAAGAACCACCACACACAGACGTATGAAAGACATGGGTTTCTGCTGTCGCATTCCTTGTGTCAAGCCACTCTTGAACCACAGACAGCGTCAGAAGCGTCTAAAGAGAAACAGGACTGGACTGCTGGTGAGTGGTCCAAAGTCATGTTCTCTGATGAAAGTAAATTTTGCATTTCCTTTGGAAATCAAGGTCCCAGAGTCTGGAGGAAAAGAAGAGAGGCACTTCATCCACGTTGCTTGAAGTCCAGTGTAAAGTTTCCACAGTCAGTGATGGTTTGGGGTGCCATGTCATCTGCTGGTGTTGGTCCATTGTGTTTTCTGAGGTCCAGGGTCAACGCAGCCACATACCAGGAAGTTTTAGAGCACTTCATGCTTCCTGCAGCTGACCAACTTTTTGGAGATGCAGATTTCATTTTCCAACAGGACTTGGCACCTGCACACAGTGCCAAAGCTACCAGTACCTGGTTGAAGGACCATGGTATCCCTGTTCTTAATTGGCCAGCAAACTCTCCTGACCTTAACCCCATAGAAAATCTATGGGGTATTGTGAAGAAGAAGATGCAATACACCAGACCCAACAATTCAGAAGAGCTAAAAGCCACTATTAGAGCAACCTGGGCTATCATAACACCTGAGCAGTGCCACAGACTGATCGACTCCATGCCACGCCGCATTGCTGCAGTAATACAGGCCAAAGGAGGCCCAACTAAATACTGAGTGCTGTACATGCTAATACTTTTTATGTTCATACTTTTCAGTTGGCCAACATTTCTATAAATCCTTTGTTTTTTATTGGTCTTCAGTAATATTCTAATTTTCTGATATGATGAATTTGAGATTTTCATTTGTTGTCATTTGTAATCATCAAAATTAAACAAAATAAACATCTGAAATATATGAGTTTGTATGTAATGTATGAATATAATATACAAGTTTCACTTTTTAAATGGAATTACTGAAATCAATCTACTTTTTCATGATATTCTAATTTTATGACCAGCACCTGTATGTTGGTTTATGTGGACAAAAGGGAATTATTTTAACAGAAAATGAGTAGCACAAGGGTCTCTGTTTGTGACTGGGAATATATGTGAACAACCTAATAAAAATAAGATATTACTCAGACTGTCATGGTGACACTCTAGCTCAAAGACAACCCTTTGACTTTAGAATGACTAATTTAATTTCAGTAACTCCCTCACAATGTCATCAGCTGAAATTTGCATAGCCCCCAACAAACCTTGTCTCTCGCTTCCATTTTCTGATCACATTAGTTTGCTCTCCTTGTCCTCCTACCCTTTACCAAAACATGCACTTTTATGAAGCCACTAAATGGCATTGTCTGCACAAAGACATGAGAAGGTACTCGATCAATAAGAAAGTCAACACCGTCACGGAACTGCTATTGATTTGGGAATGTTTGTATGCAGATAGATGTGGCCCGGCATGTTGACTCCTGTTTGAGGATAGTGATAAAGTGTAAACATGAAAGCTCTAGAGTGGAAGAGGAAGCTTGACAAAAGTTTGCACTGTTCTCAGGTCAGCATGTATTCCTCGACCCAGCCTCTAGTCTCAGATGCTTGGTTCCTTGCAAAAATATTCATACCTCATGAATTTTTCCACATTTGTCACTTTATAAACACTATTTTTTTTTCTATATATATATTTTTATGATAGACCAAAGCAACAAAAACAAATGTCACAAATCATCTAAAAATTTTGGTTCTCTTCTTCACAAATAAGAATATAAAGTATAAAGGTTTCCAGTGCCTGTTAGTGACTTCTGTTGTTGGGCCGTTTTTCTGGTGGAAGTTCAGTCAGATTGGTTGAACATTGCAACATGGAGTGTAAAGTCTTGGTACACATCTTTGTTGATTTATATGTTGATTGAATTCGGTCATTCTAGCACATAAAAATACTTTTATCTCAACCCTACCACTAAAACTTTAACTCTATATATTATTGTCATTGTTTTGCTGTTAGGTGACTCTTCAAATATTGTTATACATTCTTCTTCCTATTTTGACTGGTTTCTCAATGCTTGCTCCCCATGACATGATGCTCCCATCACCATGCTTTATCAGGTGATTGGTATGTTCATGATGATGCACACTGTCGGCTCTCTGTCACACACTGTGGTTTGCATGTAGGCATTGTTCCCACCTGACCAGAGTGCTCTTTTCCACTTGTTTGTTCAGGACTTAATGCAAAATGTTGATTTTTTTTTCAGTGGTTCTCTACCTGCCTCTATTGTATGAAAAATTTTGCAGCGCACTTATGTTGGCAAAAGTTTAATTCATTAGTTCCATCTGACAAATGAGGTCCTCTGAGCTGAGAACCTTAAAAGAGTGTGTCTTAAAGGTATCAATGTATGAGAAAAATATATGCTTTGTTTCTTGTTTAGGTTCACTTTTATTTTGTTTTTATCAGATATCTATTGAGAGTTTGTTCCTATGGTGAAAACAGGTGCAACAAACAGCTGGAGGAATATCTATAACAACATGTCTCATTTGCTGTTGTACCTGAATTATTGTGTCAATTATATACATTGTAAGATTTTCAAATTTTCAGTGTCTTTTCTCTTTAATCAAATTGAAATCATAAGAAGTTGGGCAATTGCATGTTAAGGCGTGCTAAGGCAAGTTTATATAGCATAGTTGTGCTATGTTATGCTGCACATGAGAGTAACAAAAAGAAAGAAAAGTACCTGTACGCAGCAGCCTTCAGGTATACAAAATAAAAAGAAACGAGAATCATTGAAATAAGATGATTATATATAAAAATTGATGAAATGATAAAACAAATAGGAATATTTTAAGATGCCTGAAAAGTTCAACAGAAAATGTAACTTATAAAGTTTGATTAGCACAATCAGATCAATTTGAGTTTCTGGATTTAGAGCAGCTGAGGGTTTCAGTGGTTTTACAGTTTTCTTGGTGTTTATTTCAGATTAAGGGAGCATAATAACTAAGCGTCAGAGCTTTCTCTCTTTGTTTGGTTCTGGTTCTGTGTATGTAAAGTAGATTTGAGACAGATGTCTGGATAGCTGGATACTGTTGGGAGCTGGAGAAGTTCCACCTTTCTCCAGCAGAGTCCGCCGTGGATCCTTCTGAGTGAGCCTCCTGCACAGCTGCAGCCCATCAAGATCATCAGAGGATCCACTATATAAGCTGTCTTCAGACCTTGCCTCAACGCCGCAGTGTTGATCCAGTTGGTCAGCGCCTAAGCCTAGATTCTCTGTGTAACTTTGTGAATTTGAATCCAGCCTGGATTCTAACTGTTGCCTTTGTCTTCCAGGAAACCAGTGTCTCCTCTGTGAAGCTCAGGAAGAGCTAACCTGCCGAGCCGACCCTCAGAGCCAAACCCGAAGAACCATTGAGAACTTCCATGCAGCTCAGAACTAAGAGCTGGAAAACCCAAAGCCAAGGTCTGTTCATAATTAGACGTGAGACGCTGAAGCAGCAAGCGGACTCTGCTGATCAACTCCTCTCCAGATCCCACAGTGACTCTCCTAGAGGTGGGGGGGAGATGGACTCTCCTGACCTTTCTTCTGTTCCTTCCGAGTACCATGACCTAGCCCCTGTCTTCAGTAAGGTCAGTGCGACGTCCCTACCTCCACACAGACCATATGACTGCGCCATTGATCTTTTACCTGGTGCACCACTACGTAGCAGCAGGTTGTATAACATTTCCAAGCCTGAAAGAGAGACCATGGAAAAATACATAAATGAATCATTAGCTGCAGGAATAATCCGCCCATCTTCTTCTCCTTTGGGCGCTGGGTTCTTCTTCGTTGGAAAGAAGGATGGCTCCCTGAGACCATGTATTGATAACCGAGGTTTGAACCAGATCACAGTTAAAAACAAATACCCACTTCCTCTACTCGCCTCTGCATTTGAACCTGTACAAGGAGCGACTGTTTTCTCTAAACTGGATTTAAGGAATGCTTACCATCTTCTCAGGATCCGAGAAGGAGATGAATGGAAAACAGCCTTCAAGACTCCATTGGGCCAATTCGAGTATTTGGTAATGCCTTTTGGTCTAACTAACGCTCCAGCCTGTTTCCAGGCCCTCGTGAACGATGTTCTCAGAGACTTTCTAAATGTGTTTGTTTTTGTCTATATTGACGACATACTCATTTACTCTAGGAACCTCGCCGAACATAAGAAACATGTCCTCCTTGTTTTACAGAGACTGCTGGAGAACAAGCTGTTCGTAAA